TGGGAGTTGAAGTCCACTCGTCTTAAAGTGGCCAAGTTTGGACAACACTGCTCTGTGTGCAAAGGCCTTGTATGTGGAAACTCAGAAATGTCATTAATCTGGGTTTGTATTCCTGTCACCCTATCCTAGGCTTTAGGATTAGAACTGTTGGCCACAAATCGTGGTTTTCAGCCCAGCCTTTAACCCAAAGAAAGACTGGACGCGAGAAACTCAGTTACTCATTTATTAAGGCACCTTAGTAAGTGAGGACCCCTCCCCAAGAAGAGAGCCCCGAAAATAGAAAGCTCAAATCTTTTATACCTTTTCAAAAACAGCATCATAATCAGAGGTTACATGATTGGTCACATAATTGAGCATGTTTACTTAATAGCTAACATCCCATAATTATAACACCTTTTCAAACCATATGTGTCTGTGTCCATGACAACTGGTGATTTTCTGTATCTGGGACACTTAGTGGTTTTAGAACATCTTTATTTTAGGTTTTATCTGAATACACGTGGACATCTCTGCTCCTGTCCTGCTAGATATTCACACCTGGTCAATATCTTCCTGTTTCAACTCTTTTGCAAACTTAACCACAGAGCTTGTTGGCATGTTCTGTTGAGGGGTGCGAGTTCAGTAGTTTATGACCCCAGTCTGACTCTAACTCTACCAATTAACTCCAATTTGCTGCCATCAGAACCAAGACTTTTGTGTTGGTAGGAAACCTGAGTGTCCTCTTAACCCCTTTCCCTTTGTTTTCACAGACCGAAGATGGAGGGTCTGTTCTCGAGGTGTCTCCTTGGGGAGAGCAGCTGGGTGTCTTTATGGAAAGCCGGCACCATCCGGGTCTGGACACCAGATCTCTTGATGCCTCGTCGGTTCAGGTAAGGGCTGGGCGAGGGGCATTTCCCCGCTTCTGATTTTGTGGACTTCATGGAAAGACCATACGTTGTGCTACACTAGTCTAGAGAACTCACTTGAATAAGAACAGGGTAGCCACTTCAGTTCATATTGAATGCACCTTATTTTTAACCATGATAGTGCTGAATGCAGGAAACAGTCTTATGTGGAAAGGCATGTACAGATTGCTTACTTTAAAAATACATAATAACACGCAAGCTCTCTCTGATCAGAAGTTCCAAGATGAAACAAATGAAAAATGCAAATAAATGGATACAAGGAATGCATTCAAATGGTGGTTTTCTGGCCTAATATAATCCACCCTTTGTGGGGGGAGTAGGAGGATAAAGTAAGAATTAAATTGTAGTTCTTCATCAAGTAACTTCTACGTACTTATGTACGGTAGCAGGTCTTAGGTAGAGGTGTTTACAGCGGGGGTGACAAACGACCAGACAAGTGTAGTGCTATAAGCTCCATCTGTTTTGCACACGCGTTGTGACACTGCATGAATGGGCAGAGCTTACGGCACAGTGGGCATTTTGTCATTTTTGAATAGAGCATCAGATTCGTCAGGGGCCTCGGTCTGAATAAGTGAATGTATTTTCTAATATCTCTTCTCTAGAACTTGAGTGCTGCAAGGTCTCAGGTGAGCTGCAGCATCACAAGATGGACTGAAGAAATTCTAGAATGCCTTAGGTAACTAATTCTTTGGGGATTTTGGTATGATGAGGAGGAGGGAAAAGTTATCTTGACTTCTGCTGGCCTCTTTTTTGACTTGGAAATATTAGTAGGATTTTAGGTAGTCTGCTATGATGAACTGCATGTTCTGTCCGTGTTTCACCTGATAAACCATGATTAGAAACATGCCCTGAGCAGAGCCTTCCCTGTTTGCACAATACTGTCTTTACAAAGATAGTGTTAGCCCTTGAATATGTCCCTCTCGATCCAGATGAATTGTGTATAACAACCAGAACACTGACCAAGGAGTTTGGAAGCTTAAGACTACATATCCCATCCTGAGGCAGCTCACACATACTTGTGGAGTGGGCTGGCTGATCAATACTTGAATAGATCCCCCTGCGAGGAAACTAAATCAGTAAAGTCCCATTCCTGCTATACCGGGATTATTCCTATATACGAGATTGTTGACCATCCCTCTATACGTGTGACTCAACTTTTGTTTTGCAGCATAGAAACAAAATTGAAAATGCCCACAGTGAACTTTGTTCGGCAATAAAAGAAGGGAAGAAGATCAATTTCTGTGTTACAGACTTCTTAGTGCCAGTGGATCAAAGTCCTTGGTTGGGTGCTAACTCAAGAACTATCATTTTTCCTTACGGGATTGAAGATTCTGGCAAGAGTTGTGGGGTGAAAACCATTGTTTTTCCCCACTTTGGGAATGTAAGTTGTATTTTTTTCTGGGTTAATAGGAGATATTTAAGCTCAGATTTTTTTTACTGTATCTCAAGAAGGGGCTGTTGATGTGCTGGAATTAACTAGAAATGGTTGTAGGAGTTAAGCGGATCACCGTAAGGTTATTTTTATTGCCTTTTCATGCTTATGGTTTCAAAAGGCAAAGTATGCAAGAGAAGGGAAGAAGAGGGAAGTGATGGGTGTCGATGTGTGTGGCATTTAAGTGGCCAAAAGATTTTATATATGTTTGAATGATGACTGTTCCTCTCATTGTTGCAAGCCTTAAACAATGGGATTTTATGTCATCAGATACTAAAGTTGGCCTTTCTTCACTCAAAGTGTCTTTAGGTGGTTGGGCCATCTATGACACTATTGAATTTTGCAGGGTCACACATTCTAAGGAGCAACAAATAGGACTTTTAAGTGTGAAGATCCTGGCTGTTCTCATATTATGGGATACATAGAATGCAAGCCTGTGAGCTGAAGTTAGCGCCTCTCCGTAGATACTGCTCTGCACATTACTTTTTTTCACAGACAGCTTGAATTATATCTCTAAATTACTACATTATGCTTTTTCCCACAGGGATGTCATTGAATACGGGAAGGAAAACCTCTCTTCCTTGTTGACCCTTGTAAAGAAATTACGCTAGAAAACAAGAATTGGCCATGACGTTTTTGAATAATGCAGTGTATCCACTAGGAATGAGTAAACTGTCCTGCATACTCACTCACTAGGCTAGAAGCAATGAGGGTAAAAAATTAATTATACATTTTCAACAAATTTCTTGTCTGAATTAAATGTAGTTCAGTGTTGTCCCAATTGACAAATACACAACTCTGCGTTTGCAATCTTATGCACATTTACACAGGAATAAGCTGAGCTGAACCCAGTGGGATTTGCTTTATAAGTAGATGCACTGGATATTCATAACTTTGCATAAAATAAAATATTATACAGTATATTTGTGAGTGGTTCTCTTTGTACTCTTGAGTTGAAATGGGAAGGAGCATCTGACTGATGCAGCCTTTCCTAATACTGCCTTTTTGATGGCTGGAACTCAACTTGAATTTCCCTGCCCCAGTAATGCTGTCTGACTGGTATTTGAAGGTGTTGCTGTTCCTGTCTTTCCCAGAAAGAAATATGAAGCAGTAAGAGTTAGTGTTTGCTCCAGGCACTTACAGTTTGGCTTGTGACAACAGGGAAGGGGTGGTCTGGCCATACAAGCTGGAGCTTTCCGTTTCATTCTTACGACGTTTGCTTGTTTCTCAATTTCAGTGCAAAACCATAATGGCATTTTAAAGACAAACATTTAACCTTGTACTGCCGTGCTAGTCATTTAACGTGGATTATATCTTAGAATTCTGCTACTTCTTTGTTGTTAAATGTCTGTTTCTTTGAAGAGGAATGAGAAATTTGTCCAGTAAAGAGTTAACAGTTCAGATTGCAAAACTTAACAAGACGAAGATAAAACGCCTTGAGACTCCTACCTTACAATGGTCTAGTCTCCCTGACTGGTTTCAGAACATTCAAATAAATAGTCTAGCGTTAATAGAATTGTAGAAGTAAGGGGGAATAGTGAGAGATCTAGTGAATTTGAAAAACGTACAGCACACAATTCTGAACGTTTACTGGGTTTAATTTATAAATTTAGTGAAATACAACTCATAGTCTGAAGAGTTCAAAGATGATTAGATGGATGCAGAATTTGAATACCGTAATAGAGATGCAACAATGGGAATTTCAGAGGAAGAAGAACATTAAATGTCCTCTGAATATTATACTTGGGAAAATTAGTATGAGATTCTATCATTGATATATTGTTCCAGTCCTCCTGATTGCTAAAATGAACACTTCCATTTTCTAAAAAAAAGATTGAAAATGCAATTTTTTTCATATCTCATGCTGGAAAATGATGCATATTAGAATGAAACAAACTTTGAAAACTGAACCTGCAGTGTTTTTATTAAATTATTGGGCAAGTTAAGTGTAGAGTTTATATTTCATGGGAAATTAGATTTCTAGTACTGACCTAATTTATTAATAGTTTAAAATTTCAGCTAGTGATTTATATTGTGTTAACCATTAGCTTAAAGCTTATTAAGTGACATCATACATTTCATTATTTCATAACTAATGAAAAACTAACCTCCATGACAGTTTGGATCCCATGTTTACTTATTTGTCTCTTATCATTTGTACTTCACCCTGCCCGTGGCCAGCAGAGGCTTGTGGGGAAGGTGAACGTATGACGAGCTGTGTGGGGGAGAGGCGCCGAGGAGCGCTGGGGTTTGTGGAACAGGATTGGGCCCCCAGCAGTGGAGTTGATGCGCGCATGCCCTGGCAGCCTCCCTTGCCTGCGCTCCCGCTGCGCAAAGGCCATGCAGCACCCGCCGTGAGCTCCCACCTCTGGCGGGAGCAGTCTCAGAAGTTCCCAGGAGAGATGCTGAGATCTTCACTGAGGGGAGGCTGGTGTTCTGCACTTCCAGGTCAGTGCTTGTGGCTCTGCCTGCTGGTGGCAGTGTGCGCCTGCCGAGAAAAGCAGGAGGAGAAAATGATGGTCGGGCCTCGAGTCCTAAAACGAGGGCCCTCGAGGTGTTAATGTGGGCCTGTGCAGAGGATCTTGCTGAAAAGCACCAGCTGCGGGGAATGCTGTGGGGCGGGAGCATGAGAGGAAGTGCAGGTGGAGGGGGACAGGAGGCGTTCCCAGGCCAGGCCTGCCCCAGTTTCTCTCTACCCGTGGGGTGTGTGGCAGGTACAGGGCACGTCACCCAGGGCTTCCTCGGGAAAGAGGCAGCAGCAGAGCAGCCCGGAGCTGCAGCCTGGGCACCTAAGACCCAGCACGGGGAAGGGTTGCTTGCCGGCAAAAGCCGTAGCATAAGTGCCACTTAGCTCTGGGTTGCCAACTTCCCATTTCACCTGTAGCTGTGAGCATTCTCTCTAGTAACCATTCCTGTTGAATATGGCCCACTGAAGCATCCTGCTGACTGCACGGGCGTGTTTGCCTCCAGCAAAGGAGAGACTTGCCGCTGCTGAAGCATTTGCCAATGCTCTTTGTGCCTGAATTTGTAGTACGATACAACAAAATACCTTCCTAATTAATCTCAGCACAGAGGAGGAAGACTAATGGATAGGGAGAAGATGGGGGTGTGGGCTCCCTTGCTGGGCCAGATGGCCTCCCCTGGGGAAAGGAGGGGCAGGACAGACAAATGCATGCACTGGGATTGAGTGTAACCCCACGCTCGTTGCGTGTCTTCACAAACATCCTTGAGGACGTCACACATCCTTTGACAAGCTCAAGCATGGGGCGCACTAGGGGAATGCCTCCCTGTTTGCTACCATTTAAGAAGCACTCCTTTCCTTGCGCAATTTTCCTTGTATTCACTTGTTGACTAAAGTTACGAAAGGAAACGAATATTGTGTTAACATCAAAGGAGGTGCAGGTTCACCACCCGTCATGCCCAGAACCACCCAAAGCCACCACTGTTGGGAGGGGAAAAAATCCAGTCTTGCAGTGAGAGCTATTTATTTTAGAGAAGCCAGCCCAGCACACAAAAGGGCAAGGCGCACACATCAAACCTCAGGGAGCATATTGACACCTAAGGGTTAGGTCTGACTGCACATGAAACACAAATGGGGCAAAAGGAAATGCACTGCCGTGAAGGGATGCCGGTCCCTGGTGGCGCGGTCTAAAAAGAGAGGTGCCCAGCTCAGGGAAAGCCAGGGCCTGGAGGCGACCCCCTCGATCCATGGAGAAATATGTTGTAGTCAGGAGGAAGCCGATGGAAAGCTACTGGATATCTAGAAACCCATGGCTCTAGTCTTCTGAGCCATTTTCTTGAGAGGAAAAATTCTTCCAAGGCTCATTTAAAGATGAAAATTAGAAAAAATGGGAAAACATCCTCAAATTACAAAAGGAAATATTCTCTTTTCTGGTGCTTTATTTTGTTTGCTTTTCCTAAAGTTCCTTCAGGAACACGGGGTGCCATCCCTGAGGTACTGAATATTTTAGTTCCTTACTCGGGGCAGTGCAAGCAAGTTGGGATAAGACTTCAAAAAACCATTAACTGAGCCCAGATCACCCTTATCCCTCACCATAAAAAGCTAAAACTGGTAGAAATGCTGCTGGCCAAAATTGATTTGGTGGGCCCACTTATTCATATGGACTGACTGTATGCTCCAGATCTCAAACAACTGGTGCAATTCTATCACCGTCCCGTTACTTTTAAAAGGTGGTGAAAATAATCCATCAAATTATTGTCCAATTAGTCTGCAGAGTAGCATAAATAGGTCAGGTACATCTACATCTAAATTGGACTGGGTGATACAAGATAATGTTCTAACAGATGAACAGAGACACGTTTTAATAAGATGGGCGGTGACAAATTTGATGTACAAATAAATAAGCATCTGGCTTTTGAGAAGGCAGATCTCCTCTCAACCACTGTTTCATTCTCTAGCGTTTAACTGAGAAATACTTTCTGGTGTGGTGTCATTATGGAAGAAATGAGAAGGAGATGTGGTTTACTTTTCCTTTCCACATATAAGATGAATTTCTCCATTCTTGCCCTTTAAGTTACTTAGCAAGCTTTACAAAATTATATTTTATCATTGTGTAATTCCTTTCACCTTTATGCTCTTTACCTGTATTACACCTTGTAACAATTAAGACAAAGAGAACAACGTGCGCTCCTTAGTCCGACACCGGCAAAGGGAGGATGACCAGCAGCGCTCGCAAAATCGTGTCTCATGTGAGAGATCTTTGGGCAGGCAGTCAACGGTCTGACTTGTGACCTGCTCATTGAGGAGAAGTGCCATCGGCCCATCTTCAGGTGTTGTGGTGTTCAGATCTCCTGTCCTTTGAAAAAGCATAAAAAGATGGCAGGGGACCCCAGACCTCCAGACCTCAGCACGGACCTGGGAAAGCACAGCCCAGTAGCCGGGCAGGTGCATTGTGACTCCCATGGATGAGCTTTGCTTACCAATTTAATACCAATACCCATTTTAAAAGGGGTGAAATGTCAGAGTCTGCAAGGCTCAATTCCCAATCCCAGTAAATCCTCTGGAGACCAGTTTGCTTCCAGTAAAGATGCCTTTATTGAGAAGAAGCAGACAGCGGTCCACAGATTGCTGAAACTGAATTCCCCACGGCCAGAGGTTTCCTTTTAATCCCCTCCCGGCCAATTTCCCACTCAATTCTTTCCACGCCTTTCCTCGGATCTGTTCTCTGCTCTCACGGTTATTTGACCTTGTTGGCACCTGTGATGGAATGGAATTATGAAGGCCAGGCTCAGGGAGATAAACATTTTCTTAGCTCACCAGAACTGCATGAGAGGAACAAGAGGATGAGACTGGCACCTCCCTGAGGAATTCACACTGTTGTGACTGGCTGACTTTGGGACCTGGGGTTTCAGTCTGGGAAAATTCTTGCTAGAGGTTGTAGCTAATCAGGTTGTAGCTAGAGGTTGTAGCTAATAATTCTTGCTAGAGGTTGTAGCTGGACTGAATTGGCATTGTCTCTTGGAGTTCCTTGGGCTAGGCCTGACATCACCTCAGACTTTGATAACGTCCCATCTGGCTTTTGCTGTTTACCCTATTCTCTCCCTCCCCTGTTTTATGGCAGGAACGAGCAAGCAACTTACCTAAACTAACTTTCTAACAAACTAACGTTTCTACTTTAAGGCTGTGCTGAATAAACATTCCAGTTGATAGGTGATTGATTGCGAGGATCCTGACATGAAATGGCTTTATCTCAACTACCATTCTTTTCCGTTATTATATTAATCCAACAGTATAAACTTTTCCAGACCAGAATTTTACCCACCTTGGCTAGCCAATAGTTTCAGCTCTGTTTCGTGCAGATGGGGCAGTCCTTCTCCCCACATACTTAGTAGATCTGAGTTGTCTTATGGCTCTTGCTGTTTTCTGCAGAGGAAACGAGCTTGTCATCCATCACTCAAGA